CCCCCTCCTCCCCCCCCTCCCCCCCCCCCCCCCCCCCCCCCCCCCCTACCTCCTCCCCCCCCCCCCCCCCCCCCCCGGCTCCTTTCCCTTTGCCTGTAGGCATCTTTTCACTGAATTAAAAATACCCTTTCTTCAATATTTCAATGCCAATTCTTCAATACTTCGAATACCCTTTCTGCTACTACCACTAAGCTGCCAACACTTCCTTCTCCTTCCTTTCACCATCAAAGCTGTAGAAAGCATCATCTATACTTGGCCCTCCTCACTCCTCAGTCCCCTGTACTCTGGTGTTAGACTGTGCTACTCTATAGAAACATTCTGACCACAGGTCACCAATGGGCTCCTAGTTATCAAATGCAATAGCCTTTGATCAGTCCTTAGCCTCATGGGAGTTCCCTGAAGCATTTTATGCTTCCTAGGCTATCACAGTGGCCTTTTGGTTGGCCTCTCTTTTTCAAGTCCTTTCCAGTCAGATCCATCTCTTCTTAAAGAAGATGCAGGTATAAAGCTGGTTGTTATACCACTAATACTGTTCCATGCTGCCTCGGGCCCTCGGGCCTACACTCAGCTATCAATCTGATCCTCCTAAAGCCCAGGTCTGACCATGGCACATTCCCTACTTAATAGACTCCAGTGATATCTTGTCACCTTCAGAATCAAATAGAACATCCTCAGTTTGGCAAAAACCACTAACTCCATAGCTCCAGTTCCACATGTCAGTTGCCTGTTGCACCCTTTCACTCAGGGGCTCCAATGGCCACTCACTCTTAATAGGTTCCTGGAACTTACTCATCTTTCCTTCTAAACCTTCTTACAACTTCCTTACGTTTGCCAATGGCACCACCATCCTCCTAGACACCCAGACTCCAATTCTTAGAATTGTCTTTGACTCTCTCCTTTCCCTCCTCTCTCCTTCTTCACCCAGTCACTTTCCAAATACTGTTGATTCTGCCTCCAAAACATCCCTCATCTCAGTCCCTTCTACTCCACTCATACTGATAATTCAGTCTAATTCAGGATCTCATAACCTCTTACCTGGCCTCCTAACTAGTCTACCTTCCTCCAATCTCTTCCTTCTCTAATCCATCCTTCAAACACTTGCCAAAAGAATCTTCCAAAAGGATGTCTGGCTTTATTATTAGCCTACTCCAGAATATTTAGTAACCACCCATTACCTAAAGAATTCATTAGCTTGACATTCAAAGCTCACTAGAATTTAACATTTCTCCATTTTTCCAGGCTTCTTTCTCACTACTCCTCATAAGAACTTTATATTCCATCAGCTGAGTGACACCTCCCCACAGACTCCCAATGGTCTGTCTCTAGGCTCTCTCACCAAGGTCAACGTGGTCATAATGATAGGGCTCAGCGATGAAGTGGGGAAGGCTCATGAGGAGCCCTGCCACCGCGACTAGGACAGCTCCAAGGCCAATCAGACGGGGCCGGTGGACCCGGCTCCCAAAGTAGCTCACGAATACGATGAGGGTTGTGTTCCCCACCTGCAAGGGAGAAGAGTCAGAAAGGGGTAAAAGGCTGACAGACTGACTTCCTCTCTATGAGCCACTGTGCAGTGGACTGGGAACAGCCCTGGACTTGGAGTAAGAACCCTGAGATTGAATCCCAGCTCCAATACCTGCCAGCTGTGTGTGGCCATGCACAAGTTCTTTACTCCTCTGAACCTCAGTTTACTCTGCTATAAAATGAGGGTAATATAATAATCCTTGTACTATCTACCTTAGGAGGTGGTATGAAATAGTTAATAGAGAGCTGACCTTGACATATTCTTAAGAAAGAGCATGGATTGATGTAGGAATGGTCATACTTCTGTACTATCAAAGGGAGAGCTGTAGCACTGAGAAGCCCCAACCTCCAACAGTTTATCAGAAAACCAAATCTTTCTTGCCTATGGTCCTTACCTAGCAACATGGAAGTGGGGTGAAGGTCTGATGTTACGAAAATTTACAAGACTTAAGCCTAATCCAAGATATCATTTGCTTACTGTCGGACTCCTAAGAATCTAAGCATGAAGGAAAGTGCACTGGACATGGAGTCAGAAGACCTTGCTTTGATTCCTGGCTCTGCCACTAACTCTAAGTGGGACTTCAGGAAGGGGACTGAACTTCTCTGGGCTGTAGTTTGTATCCCCACAAAGTACAGAGTTAGGCTAGATGAGCTCTAAAATTCTCACTCTAGCCCCCAAAGCCTCTGCCCTTCCCCTTAGACCCCAAGCTAACTTGATGCTGAGAATGGACATAACCCATTAGATCTTATCTCTACAGATTGGGGTCACCTCATCCATCCCCCTGTCTCCAAGTAGCTTGTTCCAAGAGGCCTCCTTCCATACTTCACCCCCATCCCCACAGCTCATACTCTCACACTGATGCCCACCTTGTTCAGTTGTGTCTGACTTTATGATCCCATTTGGGTTTTGGTTTTGTGTTTTTTTTTCTGTTTGTTTGGAAAAGATACTGGAGTGGTTTGCCATTTTCTTTTCCAGCTCATTTTTTTTACAGATGAGGAAACTGAGGCAAACAGGGTTAAGTGACTTGCTCAGGGTCACACAGCTAGGAAATGTCTGAGGCCGGATTTGAACTCAGGAAGATGAGACTTCCTGATTCCAGGCCTGATGCTTTATGCACTGGGCCACCTAGCTGCTCTCATGCCCACCTAGCAGTCCTCAAAAAGAGAATAAACATACAGGATAGGCTCCCAACTCCAGACCCTCATCAAGCCAGGGGAAGGAGAGGAGAAGTGTACCCACTGCTATAGATATAGGGGGAGTCTGGGGAGAATCCCCAAATTTTCAAGCTGGAAGGGACCTAAGAGCCCTGGTTTAGGAGTTATGAGACCTTGGATATAACTTCTCTTTGACCACCTTGTGATATGATCTTAAGCAAATCACTTAACCTCCGTGGCTTCATTTCCCTCCTCTGTGGGCTGAAAAGGTTGAACTAAATAATCTTTGAAGTCCTTTCTGACCCTAACATCTATGAGTTCACGAGTCACGTGATCTGGGGTGACTGATTTCCCTTTCCCCAGTCTCAGTTTTCTTCTACGTGAGATAACTGGGTGCTCCTCAGCTCCCTGATTCTGCAATTAGCCCTTCCCACCACTCTATTCTAACTCTCTCATTTTGTAGAGGTGGAAACAGGCTCAGAAAGGGAGCCACTTGCCTAAAGTTGCCCAGCAGTTGAAAAATCTCCACTTTCCATTTTCAGGCTCCAGAGGCCAGGAGTGGTGGTGGTGGTGATAAGCATTCAGTGACTTTGAACAACTGTACTATGTGGCAGGGACGAAAGACAGCCCCAATTCTCCTTAAAGGAGTCTGTCTGGCCAGTTCCAGCCTTTACAAAACAAATCCAGGGTAGGAGCTTACTAATTGTTCATACACTAACAACGTAAGAGTTGGAAAGGGCCTTATAACAGAATATTAAATACAGACAGCTACATCCTAGAATATTTGAGGGGGAAGAAAAGGTATCCTAGAAAACAGGGACCCTAGGAGGGACCCTAGACCACAGAATATTAAACCTGAATGGTCCTTATAACAGAGAATAACTGGGAGAGACCTTAGAACATAGAACATTAGAACTGAAAGGAACCTTCAGAACATAGAATGTTAGAGTAGGGGGGGACTGGAGAGGCTATTTAATCTAATCCTTTATTTCTATAGAGGCATATTCCGCCCCCATCCCCCGAGAAGGGATGTGACTTATTGATGGTCACAGGATGTTAGAGGAAGTTGAAGTCCAAGAGTCTTCCCACTACATGGTGTTGCCTCTTACAGAGTCAACTGTTACTTTTGAAGACACAGAGTGAGTCCCTGAAGGCCTGGCCCAGTATCACTGGGGAGTCTGACCGTAGCTAAAGGTGAAGGGTCCTGGACACAGGCAGCAGGAGAGAACTGAGACAAGGCAGGTAATGGGAGAGAGAAAGAAGACACCTTCACTTGCTCCCTCAGGGTGCCAGGATAGCCTGGAGCACAGCAGGGCTGGGGGATTGGACATACCTCATTGAATGCAGCCAGGAGCCCTGAGGTCTGACTGGACAGGCCAAAGCGTTTCTCTATGGTGGAGATGGAGCTCTTCAGGTAGCCTGAGATCATGAGTTGGGCCAGCTGCAGCAGGCTATGGCACAGTACAAAGAACTGTAGAGACACAGAGGGGGAAGAGAGCAGAGTGAGAATAGAAAAGGGAGACACAGAAACAGAAGAGAGGGAGAGGAGGGAGAGACAAAGGAGGGAGAGAGAAGGAGGGAGAGACAGAGACAGAAGAGGGGGAGAGATAAAAGAGGGGGAGAGGAGGGAGAGGCAGAGCAGGGGGTGGGAGAGATACAAAAGGACAGAGGGAAGGAGAGACAAAAGAGCGGGAGAGAAGGAGGGAGAGACAGAGGAGAGAGAAGAACAGATAGAAGAGAGGGAGAAAGGGAAGGAGAGACAAGAGGGAAGGACATAGAAGAAAAGGAGAGAGGGAATTACAGAAGAAAGGGAGGGAGAGAGAGGAGAGAGGAACAGAAAGACCAAAGAGAGGGAGAAGAGAGGTGACATGATTTATGTGAGAAGGAGGGTGTGGGGAGAGAGGGAGGAGAAACTTATTAATTCCTCTCAAGCTTCTGAAACAGGACCTTCAAGAGTTGGGGAGGGATGGGGAGAGAGACAAAGATCCCAGGGGAGTCTCTTGGGGAGCTGGTGGGGTCAATAGTACTCGAGGTGCAGAACTCCAAAAAACTGTTTGGTGGTTGCAACTTAAGTTTGTGGGCTATGAACTCTTCTCTACTTCCTAGATCCCCTCTTCCACCCCTCTCCACCTTGCCAGAACTAGATCGGTGGGTTGCTGTGGTTGGGAAGGGTAGGGGAGCTCCTGGAAGAGAGTGTAGGAGTGAGTGGGTAGAGCTTTGGGAGCCCCTTCTGGCCTTTCAACCTCTATTCTGGTGTTGGATTAGGAATGTCTTTCCTCATCCCACCTGCCATGTTCTGTCCTTTATGTCTCAGTTATAGGCCATTTCACCCAGGAAGGCTTCTAGGATTGACCCAGCATAATTGCCCTTATCCTTCTCTCACTTCTTCCTCTTATCCCTAAGGACTCCTCTAATTGTCTTTTAGAATTTGAGGTCAATTCCAATTTATTCACAGTTCAGGACAAATCCCAGGCCATTCTGTTATCACCCCGTCCCCTACCCCCACTCCCACCCCATTCTCCTGGGACTCTTCCTCCTTTTCATCCAGAGCTCTGAGATTATGAGAGAGAGACAGAGAGACAGAGAGACAGAGACAGACAGAGAGAGAGAGAGAGACAGACACAGAGAGAGAGAGACAGAGAGACACAGAGAGAGAGAGAGAGAGAGAGAAGGCAGAGACAGACTGACAGAGTCAGAGATGCAGAGACACAGAGAAAGACAGAGAACTAGGGAAGAAAGTGAGGAGAGAATATATCTCATTTGATTCACGGTCAAATAAAAATAATTTTTGGGATAATAGTCATTTGGCCCAAACTGCTTCTTTAGGGTAGAGAATCAACAGTTGATTCTTTTGTGTTTATAGATTTTTCTTATCCCATTTGTATATGATCTGTCTCCCCTTCTCTGATTGGATACTCCTTAGATTCTACCTCTGAGGTCCTGGTAACTAAGCCACAAGCCAGATACTCTTCTAAATTTCCCTGTCCCCAGGGCCATGCACCTAGTCCTCCAAATTTGAGGATGAGCATTTCCCTGAACCCTTCTTCTCCAAGAGGAGCCCTTCCTCTCCCAAGGTGCTCTGGTGCCAGATTTGGTACCTTGACGCTGAGAAATAAATTGGAACAGAGCCTCTTCTGGACTGGCTCAGCTTGGCTTTTAGATGCAGGCTTACTGCTCATCTTGATCTCAGTTTCCGGATCTGACATTTCAATCCTCTGCTGGGCTGGCCCTATAAAGACATGTGTCCCACCATTGGATGGAAAGAGATCAGGTCACGGTTCTTTCAGGAGGTCAGTCTCCTCTTCTGGAAATCTGCCCAGTTAATTAGCACATAGGTGAGGTCTGGCCCGTCTTCTCCCTTCCCCCAGAACTGGACATCCTTAGATGGCCACTAAGACACTCTTAGTATTTTCTGCCTTTTCTCCTCTTCAATCACTCAATTAAGGTACGTATTTACAATTTATAGCACATAGAGGTGCGCCACATAGTGTGCCATAGAGGGCTGGGTTGAGAGTTTACAAATTGCTTTCACATATCATCTCATCTAATCCTCTCAATAGCCCCAATAAAAATCCGTTTTGGATTTGGTCTCTACAGCAAAAGGCCTATGAGTTCATGAGACTTAAGCCTAAACCAAGAAACTGTTGAATATCTGACTCCCAAGAGTCCAAAAGTGGAGGCCCTGGAACTTGAAGCCAGAAGGCTTTGGTTTGATTTCTTACTCTGTGGCTAACTCACTGTGTGACTTGGTGGAAATTGTTTAACTTCTCTGGGCCTCAGTTTTTTGTTGTTCAGTCATGTCAGATTTTTCATGACCCCATTTGGGATTTTCTTGATAAAGATACTTAAGTGGTTTGCTATTTCCTTTTCCAGCTCATTTTGTAGATGAGGAAATAGGCAAACAGGGTTAAGTGACTTGGCTAGGGTCACTAGGTAAGTGTCTGAGGCCAGATTTGAACTCAGGAAGATGAGTTTTCCTGCCTCTAGGCCTGGCGCTCTATGCGCTATGGTGCCCCTTAACAGCCCCAAAGGCCTCACTTTATTTCCTTCCAGCTCTAGCATTTATGAATTTTAAACTTTGTAACTTTCCTTCAGAGTATCCCTTTCTGCAAGATGAAATCAACTGGGAAACTCCCACCTCCTCAGCATCCCCTACCCCAGGCACCCCCCTCTCCTTGGAGAGCATGAGTACTCTCACTCAACCTCTTTATTCCTCCCCTCCAGTTTGATGATAAAATGAGTAGTATATCCTCTTGGATGGTTATATCCATGGATTAGGGGCACTTTATCCAACTCTCTATCTCCAAATAGGGTCAAATGTTACTATTTCCATTTTACAGGGGAAAAAAAACCAACCTAAGGCCCAGAGAGGAGCAGTTAACTTCTCCAGGTTACACAGCTAGTTAGTAGCACAGCTGGAACTTGAACTCACATCCACTGACTTGCAGGTTCCTTTCTCTATCTATTACTGTCCTTTAAGACCTAGATCAGGTGTCACCACCTCTATGAAGTCTTTGCTGATTCTCCCAGAGAACAAGGGACTCCTCCTGCCTAGAGTCATTTGGACCTTTCTGAACTCTGCTATGTACTTAATCATTTTCTAACTTTTATTTATTTGTTCACCTACCTCATACTCTCACCTACAGGGGAGAGAACCAGGGACTGGACCTGGGATTTCATTGATTAAAGGGAATTCCCAGGTAAGGAAAATTCCTCTACCACTAACCCTTTCTGCAACTTAGATTCTTATTGAGTTTCCTGAGAAGTTAAGGGACATGTGCATGGCCAAACAGCCAGGACTTGGACGCAGCTTTTCTTGGTTTTGAGGCCAGCTCTCTATCCACTATTCTGTACGGCCTCTCACTAGAAATGACTAGATTAGGAAATTTAAAAATCAAGCACCTGCATCCTCTGGATCTCTCCTCTGGCCTCTCCCATTCAGCCTTTCATTATTCTTACTGATGTATACTATATATATATATATAATATATATACACATATATATGTATGTATGTATGTATGTATATATACGCATATATATACATACACACATATAGCATATATAATAAATACACTGTGTGTATATTTGTGTATGCATACATATACACACATACCTATCTATATCAATGTCTATCTACCTGTCTGTCTCTATCTATCCATTTCTCTCTCTCTCTCTCTCTCTCTCTCTCTCTATCTATCTATCTATCTAAATATCTTCTAGCTATGTGTCGTATTCTCCTAGGACAATAGAAGCTCCTTGTGATTTTCATCACAGATTTAGAGCCAGAAGGAATCTTAGAGGCGACTTAGCCCAGCCCCCTCTCATTTTACAGATGAGATCACCAAGGCCAATAGAGATCAAGTGATTTGCCCAAGATCATGCAGCTGGTTGGTAGGAGAGGCAGGATTTCAACCGAGATCCTCTGACTCTAAAATCAATACTTTGCATCTCCAGCATTTTGTATCTGTCACGGTCCTGTCCATGGTAGGTCCTTAATAAATGTGCAGAATTGAATTGGGGATGGGCAGAACTGCTCCAGGGGCCCCGACTCCCAGTTCATGTTTGCAGAAGTGTTAAAGCATAAAACCAGAGGCCATGAAGGATTCATGATCTGAGTTTCTGACCTATATTTCTTTTTTTTCAATTCTATACCTAATATTCCACAAATGTAAAAATTCCAGTATATGAAGGACAAAAGAAAGATTTGCTTACGAAATGGCCAATCTCAGGTGTACTGTTTCCAGTTAGACTTTCTATAACTCCCTTCCTTGCCTGCTGTATTCCAACCAAACTAGCCTTTCTGCCTTTCTCCATACTGGACACTCCATCTTGGCACCAACTACTTGGTATGTATTTTGTATAAACTCTTAAGTTTTTTTCTAGCTCCAGCATTCTGTGATTCTAAGTTGTCACTATGTTCTGAAGTCTATCCCGCTCCATCCCCTTGCCCCTCCCCACTTTGCCCCCCTGCCCCTCCCTACTTCATGCTGAGAATGAGTAGCATCTCCGCTTAAATTACTGCCTCTTCAAGAACCCTCCTTGAAGCCTTGGCAGCTGGCCAAGACCTGTTGAGCTCTGCTGGAGTATCATCCTAGAGTCTGAGAGGTTTCTTTCCACATGCTTTCTTAGAATTTCCTGAGGAAATGAGTTGGAAGATCCCAGAGCAGATCCCTGGAAGAGCTCAGATTTTAAAACCAGAAGCAACTTGAAGAGAGCATTTAATTTGATCTTTTAGTTTTACAGAGGAGGAAACTGGACTCAGCTCAAGCAGGAGATATGACTACCCTAAGGCCACATAGGCAGGGGGAAGTAGCAGGTGTCCCGAATCCAAATCTAGTGCCTTTGGGGCTATTTCCCATGGAATTGGGGAAACTGAGGCAACCTCATAACTGAGGAGACATCCCCAACTCCTTTATTTTGTTTTCCCCTTAAAGTCCTGAATCAGCCTGGACTGAGTCAGCTACAGGCCAGCCTATCTGGAGGTGAGGGGGGTAGGGTATTACAAGATAACCCCAGGACCTCAGGCTTGGATAGGGAGGTTCACTGAGGTCAAAGTGATGGTACCTGCTGGGAATACTACTCTCCTGGTCTCCCTGGGAAGCCTAGTGAACAGGCTAGCAAAGACTTCCTCCAAGCTCTACCTGGAAACCCCCTCTGATTGCCTCCTTTCTCCTGCTGCCTATAAGGAAAAACTAACTCTAGATCCAGCATTCTTCCCAACTCACCAGCCTGCTTCTCTGTTTTCTGATTATTCCTTCCTGATTTCCACATACTTATTTTAAAATATATTTACTAGCTGTGTAACCCTGGGCACTTAACTCCATTTGCCTCAGTTTCCTCATCTGTACAATGAACAGAAGAAGGAAATGGCAAACCACTTTACTTCCTCTGCCAAGAAAACTCCAAATTGTGTCACGAAGAGTCAGACAAACTGAAAAATGACTGAACAACAAAAGTCCTATTTATCACTATTTTTGCTATAATTTTGTAACATTTACCAATAACTGGTGTTGAATCATGCTTTTACAGTTTTCAAAGAGCTACCACATCCCTGTGAGGAAGGTAGAAAGAGTGCTTCTCATCTTTATTTTTATAGATGAGGAACCTGAAGCTCAGAGCGGGGGACTTGCCCAGGGACACATAGCCAGTACATTATAGAACTGGTACTCAAATCCAGCCCCGGGCTCATTCTCCTAGAGAGGCAGCATGGGGTGAGGGAAAGAGCATTTAACCTGGAGTCGGGAGACAGGGGTTCAAAGCCTGCTCCAACTTCTTCCAGTTGTGTGACCTTGGGTAAATCACCTCCCTTTTCTGGGACTCTGCTTTTCACCATTGTACAGACCCATCTATTCAGTTCAACCTCTTCTTTTTAAGCACCTTCTACATGCAGAGCATCATGCTAAAACCAGGAGAGGCAAAGTTTAGATAGATAAGACAAGGTCTTTGTCCACAGAGAATGTGGGAGGATGCAATACAAACACAGATAACTGTTACACAGTAACGTGCTATAAGGGCTGGGGTGGGGAGCGGAGGTGAAAAAGGAAGGATTATGAGTGGGAGGGACTTGGAAACCTTGGAGGCTTAGACTTCTTGTAATTGTCCTATACTGAAGTAAGAGGAGACTATATATTAGAAAGGGGATGGGTCATGAACCAATCCAGAGAAATTGCAGATGAGTGAGCAGCAAGCCAGGAACTAGCTAACCTAGACAATATAGCTAAGCCCTGCTGCTTTAAGAATAAGGATGTAGTGGAAAGAATACTAAAGTAGGGGGTCTGAAGAACTGGGTTTGAACCCTGGATCTGCCACTAGCTATGTAACCCTGGGCAAGTTGCTTAACATTTCTCTGCCTCTCTTTCCTCAATTGTAAATGGAGATTATAATAGCACCTATCTCACTGGGCTGTGATAAGGATCAAAAGGGGTATTTGTAAAGTACTAAACACAGACTGGCACAAAAACGGCTCTTAATAAATACTTATTTCCTTCCTCCTTTCTTTCTTTCTTTCTTTCTTTCTTTCTTTCTTTCTTTCTTTCTTCCTTCCTTCCTTCCTTCCTTCCAATTGTGTGAACCAAACTGACTGCATCTTGTGACTGAATTCTGGATCTAGCTCAGTTCCCTTTCTATTCAAAAGTCCAACTTCTGTCCTGTGAAAAGTAACTTTATTCAATTGTGGGAATTGAGAGAAAACCTTATTGTATTGTTTGAACCTATCTTTGTGTGACTGG